ATGAAAAAAATCTATAAAAAATACACCATTAATTGCTGATGATTTTAACCAAAAATATCTTTAATGAGACATATCCAAGAGAAATAAAAATACAAATGACTTATATTTTATTGTCTACATGCCCACTATGATATAACACGCAGCAATTCTAATTAACATTCTCACATGTATTATGTATTATGATTGAAGTTTATTTGCATGGTTTTATTTTAGACAGTTTGTTTTCTATTTACATATCATTCCTTGGAATAAATCGATAAGGACACTGATTTACAAGTTTGACCAGAGTTTTTAGGCATAAATTTTATTCTGTGTTTAAAAATTTGGACTTGTTCTGCTTGAAAGTAGAAAATCTGAATTATATCAGAATGGGACACATAAAATATATTGCTCTACAAATCTCGAACTTGTATGGAACAAATTTTCTCTGTTATATATTTTGTGTTGTTTTTTTTTTCTGAAAAAAAAAAGCCATAATGTCTCTCCGATTGCATGTCCGTCCCATTCAGTGCTGCAGCACTTTGATTTATTCTAGGGTAACACTTCATTTATAAACAAGAGTGATAAATGATCATGTGTACGCTTGATGAGAGCTATAGTTGCTTATTTCTGCCATTCGTGTTTTCGCCAAACGACCCCGCCAAGCGAAAAGTCGAGAATTAGCAATTTAAAATCGCGGGGGCGCGGAGCGAAAACTTGCTTATTAGCGAGGACGCAGGGCGCAGTTAAATAAAAAAAAAACGCCGCGCCGCGAGGGCGGGAGCTAGATATATGAAAAAATACGGCGACATAATAAATTATTATTTTAATAAATAAAACTTCAACCGCGCTCCCGCTAATAAGCGTGGTTTCGCTTTGCGACCCGCCGTTTTATGTCTTAAATTTCGTCCCGCGCGGACGCTTTTAGCTTGTTTACGCCCCGCACCCCCGCTATTTTAACATGTTTATTCTCGAAATTTCGCTTGGCGGGGTCGCAGGCCGAAAACGCGAATGGCGGAAACAAGGCACCATAGAGCACAGGTTGCAATATCAGTATACAATCCTGAAAAAAATAATTCAACATTCCAAGGCGTACTATAAGATACCAGATACAAAACCACTGATAAAGTTATTAAAAAATTTCCACTATCAAAATTATAGTTATAGAAAGGAGGAAAGCCTACTATTTGTTCATTGCCAAACAATGTGGAACACGGGAAATAGGCGTTTCGGCGAATAAGCCTCAGAGCGTTGAATTTTTTTCAGGGTTGTAGCAGGGGTCCAGGGTAAGGGTGTGGTGGGGCATCCAAACAACGAGGGTACTGCCACCTTTGCAATAGAGAGCCAATTTAACAGTTAACAGTTGTGTTGAGGGATGATTGACCTGTCGCTGCTATTTTGTAGCGCGTAGCAGGTGACACATAAATCACATACAGGCAAATGTAAGGGCCATAATTCAGCATAACAAAACATGTGCAATATGCGCAAGTCCTTGTGGTAACGATCAATTCTGTAAAGTTTCATTGAATTTGCTTTTTAATAAAGTTCTAAGAAACAAAATCACAGGCATTAGTGTTTATAATATCGACTCATTATTCATTTCTTATATGTTTGTTGAAACTCACTGCAACGTGATGATGTTTAATTTCGCCTAGAGGTCCAAAGCATTCAGAATGTAGATGAGCGCAGACATCTTGGTGTATAGGAATTTTTTGTTTGCAGGGAAGCAGAACATCTTAATTATTTTAACTGCATCTAGATCTATTTAAATCCCTGATTGCTTATTGCATGTTATAATTGATACGTTCTGTAGAATAAGCATTTGAATATATAATGTAAATGTTCGAACAATTTTCTGTAAGTTTCATGTACGAAGATGTGATTAAATATAATTTCTGACTATATATCAGTTATACTGAGCGTCGTGAACTGTCTAAATGTCAGGTACGTATTGTATTGTCCAACAATAATTACCTGGCACTTCATAAACCTTCGTAAAGGTTATTGGAATAAACACTGACCAGTATCTATCGGATATATCGATATATTTGCTAATTTGCTGTGGTGTATTGGTATAGATGTCGGACTACCGATCTGAAGGTTTCTGGTTCGATTCCTTACCAACACCACGTTATGATTTCCTTTATAATTTACTAGCAAGAATTAATTTGAAATCGTTTTACTTCACCTGGGTTTTTAGGTAGTGTTTTTATAAACAATTATATTTTTATTTCTTTACAGTATCTTTCAACTGCTCTCTTTGTGACATTATGCAATTGTACGCTATAAAGGCAGATATTAAAATACTACACATATAGATCTAATACATACAAGAAAAAGGTTTGCAATAGTTTACAGAAAATGGCAATATTTTAAAAATAAAATTTTAAAAAATAAAGCGCTGTGATAGGATTCGAACCTACCAGTTTACGTTTGTAGTCTTCAAGTGAAACCCCTTTACCAACTGTGCTAAGATATATTTTTAATTCAAAACATTTTAACAGTTGGATATTTCGTACCCTTAACGGAATATACCGACTACAAGGTCAAATGCAAGAGTGCCAGGTCAATGTTGTCGGACAATGAGATCGAGACCGCGTAACTCTAATTTTGTTTATTTATGTTTTCAACATTATTGAAGGTATAAATATTCTAATGTTGTTCGTTATGTTTTAATATGTTTTGCTTTAATTTTGGAAAAGTCTGTACCACTTTTAAATAATGGCTTAAGAAATTTGAATGAATAATTAAAATTATTCTGATTAAAATCAATTTCAGGAAACAACCAGTTTCCAATCACAACCTAAATTCGAACACATTTATTAAAATTCTGCGGCGCTGATATCAGACTAAATTGCATAAAGTCACACGTTGTATTGACTTCAACTCCTGCAGAAATGCCAAACATGATTTATTGCCAGATGATATCAGAAAAAAAACAGTAAGAAACTGTTTTAAGTGTAACAATGTAATTGTCGAACTTTAACTACAGTATATTAAAATATTCACTTGTTTATATAATAGTGATGAAAAGTTTTCCAAGCAAGTTAACTTTGTTTTATAAGGCATTGGCTATAGAGTTTTACCATTAACCTCAGTTTTAGGTGGATTGAAAAATAACTATTTAGATGGTGTACCACTAAATTTTCAGCATATTAAAGGTTCTTTATAAATAAAATCTGTTTTCCTGTAGAATGTGATACCAGCTGGAAGATCTACACAAGTTTCAATATTTTGTAATATTATAAAGTGGTGAAGGTAAAATTGCAGTGATGGTTGGATCCATTTCGCGACCCAATTACTGCATACTTAGAGCTTCCTTTTTATACACATTCATAAACAGAAGCCATACCAATGCTCTGTACTGTACATAAGTTATAAAATTTAGTGTCATTTTATTTTTAATCTTGAAAAAAGGTTGAAAATCGTTGAATAAACTTGTGAAATTTTCTACAAGTTTTAGAAGCACTGCTTTACCTTTTGCTGTTTAAATTTAGGTTTAAATATTCCTGGGAATGACCTGAATGGGTCATTTCTTTTATATATTTTTAAGGAAGATCAAGATGTTTACAATGTACCAACCTTAAAATGAATAAAAGTTGATAGGTGGATTAATAGCTTTTATAAATTTAAAGCAGCTTTTCCACTTCTAATTATTATTTGCTAAGAACAGCTTAACTGATTGAATATTGGTTGTTCCGGGATAAATGTAATTTCAATGAGGTAAACAATTGAAATCGAGACAAAACAGTGTCTTAAGTTGCTTAATATCCGTGTCGATAATTTTGAATTATCCATTAAAATGTACTACAAAAAAATAAAGAAAGAGTAAGTCTAAAAAAAACAATGGCAATAGTAGTGATCGTACTACAGACCTCTCATATATTAGACACTGACAATCGCTTAACAGACTATACCTTAAGGTAATATACTCAAAGTGTCATCACTTAGTTCACGGTAATGGCATATTTCCATGTGACCAGTGATAAAATTTGTCAGAATTGAATGATTTATTTATACACCTAAACAACAAAGTTTTTGTGCAAGATATTTTAAATCTCCAGACTTTTACGTAATTCGGAACAACATTTTACAAATTTCTGCAAAAAGCTACAATAGTCCATAAAATTTGTGCGTATGTTGGAAACAATCATCATTTTCTAAATGTTCTTGTTTGTTGAAAAAATAAATATTTAGTCAGAAAGTAAAATTAGCCTTGATATTCAAAATTGAGCAGTATACAATGTAGAAATTGTAATTGAAACATGAAAAACTATAGTGTAACACCATTTACCGCGATTTAAATGATGACATTGTGTTTTCAAAATGGCCGACACATGGTCTACACCTGGCCCATTAAATCTAATTTTGATTGTTGTTTCCTTGTGTCATATATTAAAAAAATACCTAAATGTTACAGCATATGACAGTTTTTGTACCATAGGTTCATTGTTTGTTTTCTTTTCTGTTTTAAAGTATTAAGTACCGTGAACTAAGAGAAGCTCAGTATAGTACTTTTATAACCGTAAGCTATGTGCTTTATAATAATTCTCGTAAACTACACGAACAGAACTGAAATGGGATTGAAAATTTAGATAAATGCTATAATTTATTCATAATTAATTTTACCAAACAGGTCAATAAAATCAGACTATATAATGACGACCATCGTTATTGTCATCGTCATCATCATTATCATCACGGACATTATGAATATTATCATCATCAAGATCATCATAAGCAATTTAGCACCGTTTACTTAATCAAGCCTGTCATCACATCATAATTATCGTTGTAGATCAACTGCATCAACAACAACGACAACAACATTATCATCACCAAAGCCTTGATTGGCATCATCATTCAAATTCAAATTAACCATTTAATTTAGCCTTCTTGTTTGCTTTTCTAAGACTAGTTACTCTTTAGTTTTGTCAAAGGGGGTTGTCAGGTGCGTGCTGATCATAGTGTTACTCATAAAAACTATAAGACATTTGTTATTGTATAATATATTGTATTTCAGATTGACTGTGAAGCAATAAATGTTATGTCGGACGAGGAATAAGCGAAGTATGTTCCAGCATATGGTGATCGAGTGGCCTTGTTTGCGTTTGCAAGATGTTTGAAAAGTAAAGAGGAAACCACCGACCAATGTCTTGGTTTGTGATTTTAATAATCAACTATTTTTGACACATAAATCATTTTCAGATGACATCTATCCCTATCCTTCAAATTATATAGGCTTTATAAAAGACATGGTCTCTAGGCTTGTGGTCTGTTTATCCTTCATGAATTATGAACATGTATATCTACATGTCTGTTGATAGTTAAAATGTATATAGAATAAGACAACTATGCAATTCTTACATAACATTAAAAATATTTTCCTTGCAAAAGCGAAAAGCTTTATTATGTTTCATTCCGTAGTAGACATGATTTCAAGATATATGAATGTGAAGATATATGCATTGAAGAACAGCGGACGTTTTTAACATTGAATATATGAGCAATCAATGTCCATCATTACCCTCTAGTGTGTTAAATACAATGTAGTACAATATACATTGTATACGAATGTGTGTTCTTTTCATTTACAGCATCCCATCTGCGTAAAAATATCTTTAGACCTAAAGGGAAAAGAGGTCGCAATAACGGCAACCAAAGCGCTCGCCGACGTCAAAGGCGCATTGATATGGGATGGATGCACTTCAATATTTCGCAGAACTGTTTCCGCCAAGTTAGGTCCGTAAAATGGTGGAGGGACAAGGGGCCTTAGTTTGGACAGGCATATGACAGTAAATGATTTAAAAGTTGCGACACTCGCCAAGTTCTTTCCAAATTCTGTATCCAAATTTGGTGCCTTAGAAAATTGTAACGCGGAAATCCGTGACTTTAAAGGAGAAAACGTATCTTCAGACACCACAATTGAAGATTTGTATCAAACAAGTAAGTTAAAAACATTGAAAGCCTACTTGTACTCGTAAAAGAAAAAAGGCAATCCAAAACTACAACCGTTCAAAACCACGAAACTTCACAAACAGACAGAGAAAGTGATGCCGATAAAACTACTGTACCAATAGAAGATGCAGATGACTGGTTGAGTTCTGGTACTCCAGAGGTAGGGTCTATATGTTTTATTTCGGTTGCATTTTAGCTAAAAAGTTATAAACGAGCGCCTAAATAAAAAGTCATTTTCAATAAATAGATTCTTTTAAACACATACTATTTTCAGTAATATTACTCGTGCTCTCGTTCGTTTTAGTAAATACACCTATCAAGCAGTCGGTAATTTGACAAATAAAATTTGATCTGGTATAAATATTTGCTAAAATTTGAATCAATGTATAATATTACAATAAACAGTGTGATTACGGGAATGAAATTTTACATGGTAACATATGTGGGTTATTTTGTGCAAAAATGTTGGTCGCTTTCAGTTATTTTTTCCCGAATAAGTTGTTTCCCCTAGCCCATAATAGGTATATTTCGCCCTAAAAATGCTAATATTTCCCCCTAAAATGCCCTGCACACATTCTTCCCGAGAGCAACCGACTTGTATCAGCTAGAAGTCAGAAAGATATCCCTTTAGATAGCCTCTACTATAAACCATGCATGTAAAATTGAACTGAAATTGAAAATTTTATAAAATTTTATTCTCAGTTGTTTGAAATTTGTAACACCCTAGCCTAAACCATCGCTATATGACCTAAATTTTGTTGTTGCAACGTCAAACCAAACAAAACATACAAAATAAAACAAAAATGTCGGACATTTGAGTGCTTTCCAGATATTGATACAGAAATTCAGAAAATACATGTATATAATAATTGATTTTTTCGCAGTTTCTTCCTTTATTGCATCCACTTTTATTTAGTATCTTAAGTATCTTCTTTCCTATTTTACGCGTTTAAGAACATGAAAGTAACGAATACAATTTATCTTTCATTCAGCTGCTTAAACATTGCTAACTTCGTAAAAGTCTTTCAATTGTGTTTCTACGCTTTTGGTTTTTGAGAGGTATACTTTGATTGTCAATGACAGTTTATAATATTTAAGGTCACATTCCATCGAAGACTATCGAGAAACCATAACTCTTCAGGACCAAGTTCGAGAACGAGTTCAAGCTCTTGGAGAGAACGGTAAGTGTGTATTTTGTCTGTTTCTGTGGACCACAAACACCAAGACGTTTCTTAACAGTAATGAAGTCACATGAGCTGGCTAACATCAAGTTTTTTTTATTAATTTTATATATTTTATAGTCTTACACATTCAGCCTTTTTGATATGTTCGTCTGTCTGCCCATGCAAGGCCATACCTAGTCAATGTTTCTACCAAAATATGTTTTAAAACTGTTATTACCAAAGTTTACCTGCGTGACTCTGCAGGAATATTACTTGGAAGTTTTTTTTTCAAACTCGTTTGAAGATACGCAGATGTCATTATTTTACCATGCCATTGATAGGGAAAAATGATTTTAAATTAACAAAGACAGGAGACTGATGGAAACTTATGTTTCAGGGTACATGCACCATTTATCGATATAACTGATAGTACTAGCGACGACGAAGATCCACTATTGCGGCATGCAATTGAAACAAGTCTGGCGGAAACATCTGGACCCCCACAAGACTGAGATTTCTATAATTTAGATTTAACATCATTGTATAAATATAGTGCGTGAGTGTTTCCATAGAGAGAGTATGTTTACCGCGTCAGCTTTTTCTTTATGATAACATCTAATCGTGACGTTGGAATGTTTATCTAAACAAAACATTTAACATGAATTGTGCAAATATATTAGTGTTTCCCGTAGCCATGTACGATGTTTGATTTAACACGGACTATTTTTGTTGCGAAATTTTCATTTATTTATAGTATTATACTACCACCAGTATGTAATGCCCTATAGGGTAATAGTTAATTATCACATCATGTGAAATGTACAATACTGTGATTTATACAGGTTATATTTCTCAGACAAAATTAGGCGTTTTACTAATGTACATTACAGAAAAGTTCGTTATACTTCTTTTTGCTGATTCGTATCGATAATTTATTAGGTAAGAAATTCACAAGCCGCGGAAGCCCACTCGTTAAGGTTGTTTCTGTCACGTTGTATACGTGCATCTGATGCATGCTTAAATACAGCATGATCAAGTGGCGTCGTGGTCGAGTGGTTGACGCGTAGGTCTAGTAATCTAAGGATTGCTGACCGCGTAGGTTCAAACCCTGTCAGGAGCAATCCGTTGTTTCTTTGAGCAAGAAACTTTACATTCATTGCTTAGTATTGGTTGGTTCCAGGAACGGATTCGAGAGTGTTGCAATAAGCTTCAAACACAATCGAACGAAAATAAATTTGTTTAAAACAAATACAGCAAACCATGTACATGTACATAATTAGTCTAACTAATGTCATACCATTTACGGTATGTTTGAATAAAGGTTAAATGTTGAATATGGTTTACAGAATGTTAAGAAAAGACACAGAGGAAATACTTCATGAGCTGATTGGCGCAGTTGATTGTACCAAGATTTTTTTTTATAAACGTTACAAGACATAATGTCTTTGAAGGCGTAATGCGTGGATTTCAAAGAAAAACATTTGATCCACTGGTTGAACTGCATGTCAAATTGGCGCCAAGGATGGTATAGACGATGGGGGCCTAACAAGGGAATGCATGCGTTTATTAAAAAAGGAGATCTGCGAGCATCAGATATTCTGTGGAAATGACAACTTGAGGCAGTTTGTCCTAAACGCTACAGGTTTGGACTTTATATCGTTTTAGCCAATGCAATATATCTTTTTCATATATCCAAGCCTTGATTTTGTGAAGTAAAATCGATGTTCTTTTTAGCTCATCTGTCACAAAGTGACAAGGTGAGTTTTTGTGGCCACAATTCTTCCGTTGTCCGTAAACTTTTACTTTAAACGTCATCTCCTCATAAACCGCTAAGCCAATTTCATGTTATTTGGTGGTCACCTTTGAAAAATTTTCAAAGAATTTAATTCCATGCAGAACTCTGGTTGCCATGGTAACTGAAAGAAAATATTTCTTTTAAAAAACGGTTTTTCGTCTTTTTTGTAACCAAATTGAAAGCACGGACTCATGGTTTTTACCCTGCTTTGACGTTAGACTAAAGAGTGTGAGCTAAAAATATAAGTATAGATATGGTCACACTCGTGAGATCCTGATCGGAGCCAAATCAATGTTTAAGTAGTAAAAAATACTATTTTTGGTGTGTAAGACTGAATAATATGGTGGTAAGCATTGGTTATGTAGCAATCCTGATATTTATGATATATATATTGCGCGTGCCTATTTTCGCCTATTTTTCGTGTGATTTTCTGTATCTATATATAGAGAGAAAGGTCAAATAATAGTCCGATACTCTTGTTCAAATGTAATTCAAACATAAATAATACTTGAAATCATAACGCAAAATCCAGAAGAAGCGGGATTTAAATCCTCGTATGCATTGCCCAAACGCGTACATATTTGTAAGTGCATTTCAGTAACCCATCTAAGGTTTTTGCCCTCTTGAGGAATAGTTGTCCAATGAGTTACCTATTTATATGTAAAATGATTAAAATCTGGACGTCGTGTATTGATAAGTGTTCATATTAAGTATCATTTACAAAAATGAATTGGTCAAAACGACATTTAGTGAATGTTAACTAATCACGTGCACGGGGGTGAACTTCATATGGATCTCAAAATAGAGTTTCAGTAGAACGAATGGGCAATATAACACTATATGTGAAAATCGCAGGGTAAATTTTTAACTTTTTTAACATTTATATAAAATTCAAAGCTGTCTTTTTTTAAATTTTATCCCCCATCATACTCATTATTGTACCAGATTTTTATGCAGTGTTTGTCGAAATATTGTTCCATCCCGGGTTCTGGTGTGTCCAAGACATGCAATACATACAAAAACGGACTCGAAATCTTACCACCGAACGATGCTAAACATTCAAACAACCCTTGAAACATTTACAAGATTTGGATTGGGAATATTGGTCGAAATTTAATTCCAGCTGAAAAGATACATATGTGATCTAGAAAACCATCTACAAAATTACGAATCACTTTTATAAAAGAGCAATCTAAAGGAACAAGTAAGGTTTCGTTGATTTTGGCTGAAAGCCCATTAGTCCATATGCTTGGTAATTAAATATCGCTTCATCAATATGCTAACTATCTGATGCTAGCAAAAGAAATACAAAAAATATCGACTATGTAAAAATGTGGACTCAGAGCGAACACTACTCGCACAAAATATAATTTCCCTACTGAGGGGAAACGTATCTTAGACAAGCTTAACTAATATTTTAAACAGTTGACAAATGAAAGTGATTAATCTTTGTAAAGCTATCATGCCTTATTTTTTTCCATTCATAATTTAAATTCATAAAGATAAACATCACTTTAAGATTACAAACGTATATTTAATAGATTTTCACTCAATTGGACAAATAATTTCTTATTGACTGTCATGCAGTGAATCGCAAGTAAACTTCTTCATACAGACTGTCCCCAAATATTCTTCTCTCGTGTAGGGTAAACAAAGCGAAAGATGAGAATTTGTATGAAAATGGTCAATGAAGAGTCGTGAACTTCAATCTACTTATAATTTTGACAGCAACTGTAATTTAACATAGTCATAAGTATTTAAATCAACACATAATCAACGTATCGATAAGATATACTTTTTTGTAGTGATTTATATATACGTATCGACATGGGTGATCTGAATAGAAGTAACGTGTTATACTAGTCGATATAAAATCAGATATAAAATCTAAATCTTAAACTTATATCTAAGCTCTAGCTAAATGGGTTTTTAAAACAAGATTTTTAAGTTTTTCCTATATACATATAAGGAAAATCAATGATCCCCCAGGGCGGGGCCAATTTTGACCCCAGGGCTTTCATTTGAACAAACTTGGTACAATAATTTTATTATTTCATTCTATTATTTATTCCTTTTTCTCAAAATTTGATACTTAGAGCACTTAATTCAAAAGCTATAAATAACTTTAAATGGAACATTATTGACTTTTGAAACTTATACTTTATACATTTATATTTAAATAACTTCATTTAATCACTCTTAGTATCATAATTTTATTATAATGCTTATCTATATTTCTAATATTTTTATATATTTTTTCTCCATTAAAAGTTCATTTGATTTATTTATATTCACATATAAAACATTTGTTAAAATTAGTTCATGAAAATTAGTTCCTGAAATTTACGTTAAACTGAAATTGATAATTATTTGATATCACACAATTTTATTCAAATAGTATAAACTTATTTCTGACTAACTTCAGGGAAGGGCCCACGATAATGTTGTTAGAACTTTTGGCCCATCCCTTTTGTATGTACACTTGATATTGTCTGTAAAATTATGAAATTGTATATTGTGTGTATATTTATACAATAAAATATTATTAAACTAAGAAGATGTTTCCTAGTCGATATTATGTTACCATATTTGTTTGATTCTTGTAAATGATATTCTCTTATTTTTATAATAAAAGTATTTAATTGCGACAACGATCCATGGTAATACTAATATTGCACTACGGTGTTGAATAATACGAAATAATTTTAGAGAAACAAGACACAATTGGTATTGTGAATAGTGAATTAGTATTTTGTATGGAAGTCAAAATACTACTGTGTTTACATTTCGCTATCTTTACGATACATAACTGCATGTTCACCGCTATTTTATCATTACATACACTTCATCCTTTATTTATACATTATTAAACACACGTTTTGCATTTCTAAATAATTTAAGAATATATGGATTCGAGGCATAATGTGCCTTTACTGTATTATGGTGTTATTCATGCTCGACTTCGTTGTGGTTAATGCTTCCGAGGGATTACTTTGTTTCCAGAATATCGGACAATCTATTTCAGAAATAAATTTTAATTACGGAATGATACAAAAATAATACAACATTAATTGCTTTATGAAAGTGAAATTGCTTTATGAAATTGATCCGTAATTATGTTGATGATTATATATCTTAAAATTAAAAAAAGTTTGAAAGGCTATATGATAGTAGTATATATAAAGTAAATCGACATAATAAATAATTCTAATGTTAAATCACGGAGAGAGTGGAGTATCCTTACCTACAGTTTCATTGAATATGTTATAGAAACTGCAGTACCGTGTCCACATATTTTAGGCGGAGCTTAAAAACTTGCATGCAGAAAAAAAATATTCAGGATTAAGCACAATTGTTTTAACAATAACTGCCAATGATTAAAATTGTGGATGGGTTCTAGTTTACATCAATTAAGATATATTATATCAAGTTTATCTCATAAAGTGAAAATGAACAAAAACTAAGCCTTTTACCCCTGTACATCAATATCACATGTACGTATCCACGGGAGCTAAGTGTCATGACACCCCAACCGGGATTTTGTTCTAGAATAGTTATTATTATATTTGAACATTTATTAACGTATTGTTGTGTGTGTTTGCTTTTTATGTATAAATCACACACACACACAATTTACTCATGACCCCCTTTTGAAAAACAAGTAAAACGCCACGTCACATCCCGTGGAGTATGCGTAACTTTTTGTCAAATGTTGTAATTTGTTAAATCATGAGTGACAGAAATATGTTCTGTCATTGTCTACCGGAACACTGACGTTATTTTTTCTGGATGTCAAATATGTCCATTCGTTATACCTTATCAAAGATTACACCATCTGTTTTCATTTACATGTAAACTCATTTGTAAAAAGTACTTTCAATCAGTATTAACCCGGCAAAGGCATCTTTTTGGCCTTTCCGTAAGGTGGGGTGGGGATCAGTTTACCTAAAATTAAGCAAATTTCAAGTTCAATGTGGCCAATAAATCAATTCGAAATATTTCAAAATCTTTTACACAGGCAGATAACCAGTTTCACAGTACAAGTCAATGATATAGGCCATAAATTAAAAAAATACAGTTTGCATGTATTGTTCCTAAAATACAAAACCAATATGGGCCATCTTGATGATACTTAATGCAGGATACTCCAGATTCTACGCGATTCACTTAGAAATATCACTAACACACAGTGTAATCAATTGCAATTTCAAAAATGCCCAATTAACTGTCAGTCATATGTGTAGATTTTTTTCACAAAATTTATCCAAAGTTTCTTATTTGTTTAGTGCAAATTGTCAATGCCTAATTTTCAATTTTTAAACATCCTTTCTAAGTCACAAATACATACAAAGCTACCAAATTGTTAAGCTTCGGTTAAATATCTGAAAAACAGACCAATTCCTACAAATAAATACATGTAACAAAGAATTTCAAAGAAAAATGAAGTATCTTGAAAACACAGTGTCTGCCTTATTTATAAAGTTGACCGGGCCAAAGTTCGAATATGTCCCCTGCTTCTAAGAACCTGGAACAAAATTGTTAGAACACACGGTATTTCGGTTTAACTTACGCTAAGAGACTAAACAAATATTAATGTAATGCTTGAAGTTAATCACCAAGTTCATTCCAATATATCGAGTAAAAGTCCATTTATACAGATCTTTGTTTATACACTTATTATAATGGTTGCAGAAACAGAACAAACAAAATGTCTACATGTCGTCAATAATTCGAATATGTTTGTAACTGTTCATCTGAGTGCTTTTTAAAACTGATTATTATTGTCAAACACAGTTTCAATCATAATTTTACCAACACGTACAAATACTTAATTTTCCTTTTGATGTCAAACATTTATATTTGTAATACAATTCTCTGTGTTAGTCATCACTTGAATAGTTGCAGGCGACAGAAATTAGTAAAATTATTTGTGATCATTTAACAAAACGATACAAATACAACAAAGTTTTGTTACTGCAATGAAATGGAAAATATGTTATTCCTCAATAAATGCTATTCTTGCTTGTTTATTTTATTTCTTCGTTTCTGCAATTAAATAGTGCTCCCCGTCCAGTGGGAAGGGTAGACATGTTTTATTGCCTAATTAAAGCATTGTATAGTCTACTTCAAGATTAAATTGTTCGGGACGTTAGCCGAGGGTAACGGTATTTTTATATTTTTACGAGAGATGATATTTTCAATGTTACTCACAAGCCCATGCGTTTCTTATTATATTGCCCCGAAAAAATCATTTTAAAATTTCAACTAAATCTAACAAAATTGAACCAAGAGTAGCAATAACTCAACTATCCCTTCCTTGCAAGTTTAAAAAAAAACAACATGTGATGTCAAAAAGTACTGATAACCTGTTACAGTACAAATTTCTTAGTCACATGGTACACTTGGTTTAACAGTAAAATAACCCCCAGTGGCCAATGGGAAATTAACATTTCAAAAAAGTTAGGGCTAATAAAATGCAATACACAGTCTGTTTAATGTCCACTAGATAAGCAGACTACCTAAAAGTACGATATTAGTTTAGGGCCAGTGCGTTTTCTCTGAGAAGACAGAACGATGGTGACAGTACGTAGTGCTTCCATCGTGCTGTCGCGAATCACCATCGTACTGTCACCATCGTACCGTCAACATCATTCCGTCGTGCTTTACCATCGTATTGTCGTATTGTCACCACCGTATTGTCACGCATCACCACCGTGTTGTCGGACGGTCATCATCTAACACCTAACACACCAGACATATTACATTTTTATATAGCCAATCCATGTTTCTTGAATATTTACTTTAAATCAAACTCCTTTTTCCTAAAACAATTATAAAGGAAATATTTTTTATAAGTTACTGTAACAAGTTGTGTAAAACGCTATTGAATATGTTGTAAATAAATAAATAAATAAATAAATAAATAAATAAATAAATAAATAAATAAATAAATAAATAAATAAAAGATAAATATGCGTTCAATAAAAGACATATATGAACTTTGACTCCCGGAAATTATTTAACAAGGATGTCTGTTAGTAGGAAATCAATAGGATTTTCATGCAAAACGATTGACTGTCACCATAGTACTGTCGTGTTTCGCTATTATACTGCCGTACTGTCACCATCATGCTTAGCGCTTTCGTTCTCAGATCAAATGCACTGGCTCTAACGGAACACCGTATCAAAACGATAAATTCCCCTGCTAAGTACAGCAGCAAAGCGCGGAGTTCCGATGCGTAGTAATTTTATTAAAATATGTCTATTGAAACTACTTTCGAACGCGTACGCTGACATGAATGATCTTAAGTTTCCGACAGGTGGCTTGGTCACGACAAACAGATTAGACTGCGCGATGTTGAAAAAACGGTTACTATATAAAGTGATAAATCGCAAAAAGAAAAAACATCTGCCTTAAGTATAAAAGGACAGACCCACTTTTTTCAATCCATTGTTCATTACATATATATTATTAAGGATACTTATATAATTTCCTCTGGGTCAAGTGGGTTATTGATCATATTTGCGAAGTAGAATAAAAAAACAAGAAGTATCTTAAAATGATACTAGTACTCGGCCAAAGTAAAACTTGTTAATTTCAATATGTTATTTCCAAGATTTCGATACAAATAAGAATGTGAGAAATGTTTGCATAACAATGACATAATCATGTCTTGTAGCACACAAAGTTATAAGAATATTAATATGTACGTCTCTACAAAGTAGGACAATTTCTATTTTACAGTTTTTAGTCAGGTGTCAATTTACGATTTTTACATTTACTTTATAAACTTTGAAATTATATGCCCAAAATTGGCCCAAAAATTGAAAAAAGTGCGGGGTGCCCAAGTGGGTTTAAAATTTTGGATTTGAAAAACAAAAAGGGTTGCTTACCCCGTGGGCTCCAAAAACCCGTCAGGGGCAAGCCCTTTTTCCTTGAGCAAAAATTTTTCATTTATTGCTTGAACTTTTGGGTTCAAAAGGGAAAGATTTTGAGAAATGTTTCCCAAAAACTTATCTTCCAACACATTTGAAATAAAAATAAAAAAACGTGAAACCCCGTAAAAATGTTTTTTAAAGGCCCTTTTTTCACAACAAAAAAAAATTTTAAAACTAAAAAGACCTAAAAGTGGTTTATAGGGAAAACAAGCCCATCCCCCAATATCAATTTTTTACCTTTTTGGGGGTCTGACGAAAATTTTTAAAAACCCCCTTACAAAAGAGCAAATTTTTTATTTAAATAGATATTTAATTTTCATTTCATTTTTTCTTCGATTAAATTGTTATTTTTTTTAAATGAATCCATTTTAGATCTTAGGGAAAAGGTTTAAAAAATCAAAAATTTTTTAAAAACTTTAAATTTTCAGGGAAATTCCAAAAGGAACTTTTTTGGGATAATAAATCCCCCGGATTTTTTAAAACCCTTAAGGGGAAAAAACCCCCACTGAAAATCGAAAAAAACAATGTAAAAAACCCTTGGGGATTGTTTAAAAAACTTTTGTCAAAAAAATTTACATAATAATAAATGTAAGATTATTTAATGGGTTTTTTATCTTAAAAT